TTCATGCAACATTATGGTAGATGATGTGTGTGATACAAAACTGATCAAATCATAAACTATATACTGTATGTATATGCATTTAAAACAAAGCTAGGCTGAATGTTTCCTCATTGTCTTATACCAGATCATTTGTCCTCGTGGAGAATTACTCCGTGCTCAGGATCTCCATTCTTTCTTATGATGTGAAAAGAAAAGAAACATAACACTATTGACAGAAAACGTTTCTCACAATGATACGGTTTCTTCTAGAAAGAATAAAACATGACATTTACATATGTTTACTAACATTTTGCAGTCGTAGCCTTGAGCTAGTTGAGAGTGTTTTGCATATTCAGACATGCCATAACACGGAAGGCTAATGAATTTCCTTCTGTTTTCAGATCAGCGGAACATTCATTTTCCTACTTTGAACTGTAACTGAAAAGGTTTACATTTATCCAAGTTATATTCGTTCTAACGTGTATTAGGCTGGTTTCCGTTTCATTAAATCCAAGAAATGTAGCTTTTTATGTCAATACATGTTCATACATGTGGACAGAGTTATAACAGTAGGGAAAATAAAGAAATAGTTTACCCAAAAATAAAAAATTGTCATCATCTATGCCTTCGTGCCACTAAAGATTTGCACACGAGTATTGATTTGTGTCCTTGTTGATGCTTGAAATCTTCAGACCCCATTTATTGTATGCTGCATGGGAAAAACAACCAGCACGGACTTCAGAATTGATCTTTTTTTTCTCACAGAATAAAGAAATTAATATTCTTTTTTATTTATTTTACTATTACTCTGAATTAATTCTGTGCATAAACATTCAGATCTAACTTATAACTGTACTAGAAGGATATTATCTTGTCAGTCTAACAAATCTATTGAATGATTCCAAATTAAGCTAAATGAGCTTTTGCTTTGTCTTATGGTTAACCTGTCATTTAATTGATACAGAGGTGAGAAAGGCCAAAAGAGTTATTGAAGGTTAATACTGCCACCTACTGGCAGAGCTCACAAATAGACTTCATGTGTGAAAAGCATCCTCACAGAGGAAAACGTTACTGGAACCGCAATAAAAACAGCGAAATGCTTTTTCTGTGCTTTAATTTTATTAATAGAATTGTTATTACAATAAAATAAATAAATACAAGAATATGAAGTGTATATATTTTAATTTGTTTTATTGTGTTGTAAATTCCATCCAAAATCCTTTTAATTCAATCATTTGTAAAGAACATGTGAGATAAAACATGAAAAAAAAAATTGGTTCATGCATGCTTTTTCTCTGTGTTCTGGAACCAAGGCTTCATTTTTGAGACCTTAAGATGCGTTTTGTAAAGTAGCCACTACATTCTATTTGCATTAAAGGGGTCATATGATGTTGCTAAAAAGAACATTATTTTGTGCATTTGGTGTAATGAAATGTGTTTATGTGGTTTAAGGTTAAAAAAACACATTATTTTCCACATACTGTACATTATTGTTTCTCTTCTATGCCCCGCCTTTCTGAAACGCGTCGATTTTTACAAAGCTCATCGGCCTGAAAAGCGAGGTGTGCTGTGATTGGCCAGCTATCCAGTGCGTTGTGATTGGC